ATTTTCGGAAGCGTGGGTATTCAGACTACCTTGAACATAGAACCCAACGAAAACAAACAAATCACCATCATCCTAGGAACAGCGACAGAAATACGCACTTCAACAGACGTTATTTTAGGCCCCCAGTAAAATGTTTCGGATGTGGTGCATATGGACACACAAGGAATTACTGCCGATGGTCCACAAGGAACTGATTACCGGAAATGATGAAATTGACGGTATATACGTTAACAATAATGTTGATGGAGATGATGAATATATGGATAATGGTTCTGATGAAGATGATATATATGAATATAGTGATATTAAGTTTGATGATATTAATTATGACGAATTGGATGAAGAATATGAGTGCAATTATAGGCCTACACTACCTGGATTTACTAATTATACCTCAGCTTATGACAAATGTGCGAATAAGTTAAAACAGTTGGTCATATTAATGTTAGAAGTCTAATAAATAAGGTTGATGAAATAAGTTTTCTACTTTTAAAAACTAAGCTTGATGTATTATGTATCTCCGAACCCTGGTTAACTGCTGATGTTAGTGATATTCTTGTAAACATAGATGGTTATAATATAATTAGAAGAGATAGGGAAAATAATATTATTAATGGAAAGAAAAATAGAGGTGGTGGAGTATGTTTATATATTAAAGAAGGAATTCCTTATATTGAAAGAAATGACCTTAACACCCTTTCTAACATGGAAGCTATATGGGTTGAAATCCCTAACAAACATAATGAAAATACGCTTGTGGGATGTTTATATCGTCCCCCTAAAACTAGAAAGTCTTACATCACTCTTACTATACAAATGTTAGAGAAGGTTGCAAATGAAAATAAAAAAATATTCTTTTTTGGAGATTTCAATATCTATTATGACCTAAATATAGACCTGAATTCAAATCCTATAAATCAAATAGAGAATATGTTTGCACTCAGGCAACTAATAAATGAACCAACACGTATTTCAAAAACCACTGCAACATGTATTGATCCGATTCTTACCTCAATTCCTGATTGCCATATTTACACGGAAGTTTCAAAAATTTCGCTTAGTGATCATTGTTTCATTTATACGTGCATTAAAGCACTAAATAACATTAAGGAACATAGAACAATTACATTTAGAAATTTTAAACACTTCAATACAGATTTATTCATAAATGACCTAAGAAACTCAAATATTCTGTCAAATAGTAATAATAATTATAGTGATATTGATGTATACTGCAATGAATGGAGGGATTCCTTTTTAAATATACGTAATAAACATGCTCCTTTAAAGACAATGCGTGTTAAAGATCGTTTCACTCCTTGGATGAGCCCAGATATAATACAACTTATGTATGAAAGAGACCATGAAAAGCATCGTTCTGATAAATATGGGAGTGATATCAAGTTGAACAAATATCGTAAACTACGAAACTTAGTAACAAGCAAAATTCGGAAAGCAAAATCAAATTACTTTGATAATGTTGAAAACAAATACAAAAATAACTCCAAAAAAGTATGGGAGGAACTAGGCAGAACTATAGGGAAGGATTCAAATAGAAATAGTGTCCACCCTGACCTAAATTGTGAAAGCTTTAATAATTTTTTCTCAAATATTGGAAAGGAAATTTCTAAATCTTTTGAAAGTACTACTACACCTGAATGGAAACATCCTTTATGTATCCACAAATTAAATTTTAACATGGTAACATTTGAAAATATTGAAAATGCCCTTTCAGGTCTGTCCAAAAGCAGTAATTTGGATATTCAGAATTTTGATTCAACATTGCTTAGGGTTGCCTCTCAATATATTGCAAAATCTCTTTCCTCTATAATAA